ATATTCAAAGTCTTTAATAGCTACATTTGTCAATACAGTCATGCGCTGCATAGCGACTTTTGGGTCAAAGACGGACCGCATATACGACTGTGGTCCAATAAGTTTATTATGGAGCTGAAAAGTTCCTGATGGCTAGTGACGTCGTAGCGTAACGCATTACTCCCTTGTTGTGGTGATGATACTGGTTTGTGTGTTTACTATACTGATTTTTATCGTTATTCTAGAGTCTACTCTTTCTGCTAACAATAAAATTGTATGCTGTGTTACGTATTTACCGAGTCTACTAATAGAATCATTGTCCCTTGTGCTTGATTTAAGCTCGTGTTGTTTTGTTCAGTATCTTCCCTATGTTTGGGGCCTAGGAGCAATAGGCTATACCAAATAGCCTAGGTGTGTAGTAGGCTATACTATCTAGGTTTTGTGTAAGTACACTAAATAACAGGGCTACTTAATTGGCGGCCTGCGGTCCGAATCCGGATTTGCTGAGTTTTGTAGTTGGACTGCAGACTTCAGTGTTGTAGTTGGACCTAAGGCTTCAGTGTTGTTGAACCGCAGGCTTCAGTGTTGTTGGACCGCGGGCTTCAGTGTTGTTGGAAAGCGGGCTTCAGTGTTGTTGGAAAGCGGGCTTCAGTGTTGTTGGAAAGCGGGCTTCAGTGTTGTTGGAAAGCGGGCTTCAGTGTTGTTGGAAAGCGGGCTTCAGTGTTGGAAAGCGGGCTTCAGTGTTGGAAAGCGGGCTTCAGTGTTGTTGGAAAGCGGGCTTCAGTGTTGTTGGAAAGCGGGCTTCAGTGTTGTTGGACCGCAGGCTTCAGTGTTGTTGGACCGCAGGTTTCAGTGTTGTTGGAAAGCGAGCTTCAGTGCTGTTGGAAAGCGGGCTTCAGCGTTGTTGGACCGCGGGCTTCAGCGTTGTTGGACCGCGGGCTTCAGTGTTGTTGGACCGCAGGCTTCAGTGTTGTTGGAAAGCGGGCTTCAGTGTTGTTGGAAAGCGGGCTTCAGTGTTGTTGGACCGCAGGCTTCAGCGTTGTTGGACCGCAGGCTTCATTGTTGGACCGCGGGCTTCAGCCTTGTTGGACCGCGGGCTTCAGTGTTGTTGGACCGCGGGCTTCAGCGTTGTTGGACCGCGGGCTTCAGGAGAATGCTTAGCTAAGTAACAAGTGTTACCAGGTTCAAGATCAGGTGGTACACAAGAGAGGGATTATTACATTATTCTGTCTAAATGGAATACATACACTGAAAGGAATACAGTATTCTAGCATAGCTAAATAGTGATATTTTCTTCCATTTAATGGTAATTCACATTGGTAATTATCACTTGTACAATCAAGTTGACTTTATTGGCATTTTGGAAAAAGAGTTTGGCCGCATATGGGCTGGGAAGTCTGGCCATCCTGGAGCAACTTTGTGCAAGATATGATTTCGGGTTTTCTCATTTTCCTTTTAGCAAGTTTGATTTCAATTTGCTGTGGCCACTTTTATGAATAAGTACGTTGGTGGGGTATTTAGTATTGAATCGTTGTGATCAGTTCTTCACATTAATGTTTAATCAAATTGGTTAAAAATTTTCCTCATTCTGGGTGTTCCTAATTTATGTGGAGTGGATATGAAACATGTTTTATTTTAATAAATACAGAGAAATTTCAGTAATAAATACATTTCATAATAGAGAAGATAACTACCTCACTAAGCTTGTGTTTAAATTAAATTGAGTGATATTTTCATATTTGTGATTAATGGTTTAAAAACCCGACGAGTTGAAGATTGTGATGAATGGTTCGGAAAACCGACAAGATGAAGATTGAGAGACACTTATGCAACATATGGGAATCTTTATTCAGGAAACGTTTCGCCACACAGTGGCTTCATCAGTCCAATACAAAGCACAACTGTCAGACACTGAAGCATCATGGGAGCTTGTTACAAAGTATTCTTCAACACTTGTCCAACCTCTGGACGAAGACCTACTTCGACTAGTGGATGATACCACTATGACCCCGCCTCATCCCTCACCTGACTACAGTATATAAGCCACGTCTACGGCCCTATGCTGTACATTCTACAATTTTGATGGACTGAACACATCGACTCCAGGCTGAGGGACTGATTACCTCATACTACTCCTCTCCTTACACCTTCTGCTTTGTATTGGACTGATGAAGCCACTGTGTGGCGAAACGTTTCCTGAATAAAGATTCCCATATGTTGCATAAGTGTCTCAATCTTCAACTTGTCGGTTTTCCGAACCATTCATCACAACTGTCAGACACTTATGCAACGTATGGGAATCTTTATTCAGGAAACGTTTCGCCACACAGTGGCTTCATCAGTCCAATACAAAGCAGAAAGGTGTAAGGAGGAGTTTGAGGTAATCAGTCCTTTAGCCTGGAGTCGATGTGTTCTGTCCGGTGGCCTGGTGGCTAAAGCTCCCGCTTCACACACGGAGGGCGCGGGTTCGATTCCCGGCGGGTGGAAACATTCGACACGTTTCCTTACACCTGTTGTCCTGTTCACCTAGCAGCAAATAGGTACCTGGGTGTTAGTCGACTGGTGTGGGTCGCATCCTGGGGGACAAGATTAAGGACCCCAATGGAAATAAGTTAGACAGTCCTCGATGACGCACTGACTTTCTTGGGTTATCCTGGGTGGCTAACCCTCCGGGGTTAAAAATCCGAACGAAATCTTATCTCTTAATGTACAACATCGGACCGTAGACGTGGCTTAAATATTGAAGTCAGGCGAGGCGAAGCAGGATGAGGTGGGGTCATAGTGGTACCATCCACTAGTCGAAGTAGGTCTTCGTCCAAAGGTTGGACAAGTTTTGAAGAATTCTTTGTATCAAGATCCCATGATGCTGCAGTGTCTGACAGATGTGATCAGTGGTTTAAAAACCCCGACAAGTTGAAGACTGAGACACTTGTGCAACATATGGGAATCTTTATTGAGGAAAAGTTTCGCCACACAGTGGCTTCATCAGTCCATTACAAAGCAGAAAGGTGTAAGGTCTAATGCTCTAGATATTTATTGCTAAACAAGTCATATCTTTTTAAGAGAGATATGGCATGCTCAAAAAAGAAGAAAGTTTGATGATGAAAATGAAAATTCTTCCCACAAGTAGTTCTAAGCCTCTTTTCCTCATATGTTGTGAAATAATTTCCTTAGTGAAGAGCAGTAATATGAAACGCCATTTTTTTATGCTTAATGAAACATTATTTAAAAAAGGTATCCGGACCTTTGCATACATTGGTACTTGTCCAAGTGAACCTTTGCTCATAGTAGTTAAGTAGTCCTGCTTTGTGACCTTCGCACAACGACGAAATAGCCTAACGACTCATTTTTCGTCATGTATCCCCGTCGTCAAGCGGCGCATGATTGTAATGAATGAATCTATTCTAGCCATAAAACTTTCTCCATAAATAAAAAAAAACTTTATTTTTTTTTCAAATTCAGTAGAATTCGCTGCTTTGTAATTATTCTTTGTAAAAGGAAATAAAAATCGTAGAAAAAAAAATTGACAAAATTGTAATTAAAAGTTCCAATGTAATACAGGACGTTTGATAGCCTAGTTCCTGTATTTTGAGCAAACTACACATTACTTCTGGTATAAGACAGTTGCAAATACCTCATTATACTTTAGTACCTCAATTTTGTCTTTAATATTACGTAATATTCGAGTTAATTTACTTTCTCTTTTCAAATACGACTTACGTCAGCATACAGAAGTCTAAATGATTTATAATGTTATTGACTTATTATGATAATTCAATTTATTTAATATATCCACGCTTCGTTATCAAGGGTAGGAAAAGTTATGTTGACTTCATCTAACTCCTATAAAATAACATTCTCTTTAGAATAGATTTTATTGTTTGCAATCAGGTATTACTGTTACTTAAACAACCAGTCTCTTAAATCTAAGGATTTCACATTTTTGAGAGCAACATTAAAGAGATTGGACCTCATCAGTTCTGAATCTCTGTATATTGTCAGATAAAGGTATTAGGTGAAAGTCTTCATCCATTAATTGGCCCACACAAAGTTGTATTATTTGTACGTTTATAACTGTTATTTCAACAGCTTCATTAGATACTGCATCATTGTTAGATTCATTTGCGTGCCTTAATTACATTTTAGTTTTAATGACTATTAAATAGAATTTTTATTGTTTTGATTCAGACCAACTATTTTGCATGGTAATTGTTCTTAATAGGTGTATCACCGGTGATGAAGTTTGATAATCTGGAACATTTTAAAGCAAATCATAAATCATGGTGATGCTTCTCATATCTTGAGGGTAATTGTTTAGTAATTCTTAACCAGGTGTCTATTAAGTAGTAACTAGATAACAGGTGTGTCGTACGTATGAGCTAGGAATGTTGTCAATTCGTTGCCAAAGGCTGCATATTGATAAGACAAAAGTAATACAAGGAAACAAATACAAATCTTCTCTCAATAATGTTTAAATGCACAAAACCTGAATAATAAAATTTATTAGGTAAACAAAAACATAACAGTCCTGCACAAGGATCTCAAATAAAGTTCCCTCCATGGCTGTGTTGCAGGAAGTGTAGTGTAGTGTCAGGGTCACTAAAGAAAGTGGACAGTGGCTGGTGGTAGCCTGGCGCCAGTCTCTCAAATGTACCCACTTTGGCTGTGTTTGCAGAAACAGAATTTTGGTGGGTGGCAGCCGTGTGGTGCCGGGTTCACTGTATGACTAATTGTGATTGTGTTGCGGAAGTGGGGTTGTGGTGGGTAGAAGTAATTGAGAATGACTAAAATACCGACAATGTTGTGCTGCAGGAATTTGGTTGTGGATTTTGGCAGCACTGTGGTGCTGGGGTTAAAAATAATGTACCCTTCATGATAGTGTTGCAGGAAGTAAGTTGTGGTAGGTGGCAGCAGTGTGGTGCATGGGTTAATACAATGCCCTCCTTGCTTGTGTTGCAGGAAGTGGGTTGTAGTAGTGTGGTGCATGGGTTAATACAATGCCTTCCTTGTTTGTGTTGCAGGAAGTGGGTTGTGATAGGTGGCAGCAACGTGGTGCCGGGATCGGTGTACAGGGTGGCTGTGGAGGCACTCAGCACCTCTGAACCCCTGACCATCAGAGCCGCCATCGTTCACGCCGGAGAGCAGGTTGCCTCAGGCAAGGTCCTCCTTCAGTCGGGAGAATTGTCTGAGATCCTCCTTAAGGTACGTTTGTTTATTCGTATTTTGTGGGTGGTTGATATCGACAAGGTGGAGAGGTAAACCTGTTACTATGCTCTGCTTGGTTTATAGGGTTTAAATGTATGAACTACTGAATGCAACCCTGAAACCAATAAAATTTATTTAAAATTCCTACTTTTGGGATACTCAGAGAGGCACACCTCAATGCGAATGCAGCCTTTATTATATTAGTAGAAGGATTATATATATATATTATATATAATATAGGGAGCTACCACCTCTAGAACTGGAATGGGGACCCTCATCCTCAGAGAAGACAATAAACGTACCTCAGGGAAAACTCAAACGTTGTCTTTATGTCTACAGCAGGACTCGAACCTGCCAACTCTGTATCAGAGTAACCAGTACTTTACCACGAAGATTTACCCAACTATGGGTGTCCAGCCGGAGCCAGACGATGTTTCCCCATACCCCCGGGCACCAAGCTCGTTTTGAAAGTTATTTCTTCGATTCCTTTGACATGCAGTGGACAACGAGGCCTGTTTGCGAATTGTTAAGCAGGGTAATATTTAATGAAGGGATTCAGGGAAACCGGTTATTTTATGTAGCCGGACTTGAGTCCTGGAAATGGGAAGTACAATGCCTGCACTTTAAGTTTTCAAGTAACAACGTATTGTAGGAAAAGTATTTTCACGGCCCAAGTAGTCTGAAAGAATAGAGGACACACGAGAGGTTTTAAAGTTAGGGTACAGTTTGTCCGAAATTACGATGCACGTACATTCAGTGTCACGTAATATGGCTGAGACTTTTATACCATTAACTGTTCCCGAACAGAAGGGTGCTTGGTCATTACCGTCAACAAAACATCTGCAAACTTTCCCTATTTTCTTGGAAGGACAATCTGGACGTTTATGTCCGGTACCACCACACCGATGACATGCTGGTATAATAGCTGGTGACTTTTTCTACTGTAGGCTTCTTAACCTTTGGTTCAGGTGAACCATTGCCCTTAGGGATCGATCCCTTTAGGTCTTCATAGGAATTGTGAGCTTCAGCATACAAGTCAGCGCCCTCAACAACTTCCTCAGCTTTAATCAGGTTACGTTCTCTAATGTATGTTCGTATCTGGTGGGGAAGAGCTGTCAGGAACTGGTCAGCAACCATGAAGTCTCTAAGGGATTCATAACTGATCAATTCCTGAACTCTCTATCCAAAAGTCGAACAAACGAGTGTTACCCGTAACTGCTAAAAGTTTTGGCCATGCTGTAAGGTGGCATACCTGAAATGTTTTCTATAAGAATTTGTAGTCTTTTGGTATGCTTTAAGGATTGCCTTCTTAAGTAGGTTATAATTACATATGATATCCTGCGACAAAGTTGCATAGGTATTCAAAGCTGTACCGGAAAATAACATACCTAACCTGGTAGCCCAGGTGTCAGATGGCCATTCACAGAGGGTAGCGGTATTTTCAAACCTAATAATGTATGAAGTTATGTCTTCACCCTCTGTGAAGGGAGGTAAATTGGTTGTTGCACTATGTGCACTAGCTATATGATGTTCAATTACTCCTTCCTCTAATTGTTGTTGTGTAAAGTTTTTTTTATTTTCGAATTCAAGGCGTGCCTTCTCTACCTCACGATCTTTCTGTCTCTCTCGCAACTCTCACGGACTTAGCTCTCTCCTCACGATCAAGTCTATCACGCTCCTTTTTGCCTTCTCTCTCTTTCTGTCTTGAGTTTCTCTTTCAATTCGATCTCTCTCCTTTTTCTCCTCTCTTTCAATTCTCTCTCTCTCTCCTTTTTCTCCTCTCTGTCTCTCCTCTCTCTCAATTCTTTCCTGGATCTTAACGCTAATGAAAACTTCTAAATTTTTCCCCCGTTTTTCCTAACTTACTCCCAGTGTTCATCCAAAACTGGTATTCCTCTATACTTGCAAGAATAACTTAAACTACCAGGGGAAAATGAAACGGGTAACAAAGAAAACAGAGGGTTCAATTCTTGCTCCTCTCAAACTGTAAATAAATCGGAGGGTTCGATCCCTGCTTCGATTAAACAGTATGTATGAATGAAAACGGAGGGTTCTATGCCGGCTCCGACCAAACAGTAAGTTGAATGGGGTCCTTTTACCATCCAATCTCTTCACCAACAAATCAAGTGTGTTCTACAACAGTTCCCTTGATATAATAGAGCTCAATGAAACAATTTGTCACTGGAAAATACCGGGTCCCTAGAGCCTATTCCTCCAAATCGCTCCAAGCTCCAAAACAAAAGATGACAGAATTAACTAAAATCTCCTGCCTTGACTCTACTTATAATAAATTGAGACTAACAATCACCAAATCTTTTAAATACCTGTACTTTAGTCCTACCATAGAGAATGATTACTCATGGCTGGTGGTAACCGTCTGTGGTATGCAGCGTTGAAGGTCCAATGGTAGATTCGAGATGGAGTTGAATCTTGATTCAGTCGAGTAATCCTGGCAAAGTCGCCACTTGTGAAGGCTTACTCACCCCTGTAAGATCTTTAGTAGGTCTTACCAAGTCTGGCTCCTCCTCAGGAAAATTAATGAATATAAAAAGAATAATAACATACAAATATAAACACTATTGTTATACATGAGTGAGAAGGGATGGATTTGAGTGGGACTTGCACATGAGCTAGTGGATTTATCAGAGCTTATTGTTAGGGTAGAACTAAAGCGGGTTAGGCAAATATTCTGTTAGTGGGTTGGATTTGTGAAGGGCCTGCCCAGTATGGGTCAACAGGTCTACTGCAGTGTTCCTCCTTACTTGGGTTCTTAAAATGTGTTATACCTCCTTGGGCAATGCACGAAATCACAGTTTCCCTTTCTTCATGAACCTTTAACAGTTCCTCAAAACATTCTTCCCATCTTCCAGATACCTTCAATTCCAGATTTAAAAACTCTCCTTTTACATTTTTAACTGCCAAATACATTCGTTCCCTAGGCTTTCTCAACTTATTAATTTCACTCCAAAACTATCTTATTCTCAGCAAAATTTACTGGCAACACCTCACCCACTCTCTCATTTGCTCTCTTTTTACATTCCCTTACTACTCTCTTAATCTCTTCTTTCTCTCCATATACTTCTCCCTCCTCATATCACACTGTTTTGAAAAAAAAAAATCCTCTCATATGGCAACTTTTTCTCACCACAAAACTGCCTTGAAACATCCTTAATCGCCACATCAAACAGAATTAAACTACTAGTCCTCCAGCTACTACTGTTATTACTATTATTGCTGCTAATACTACTACTGCAACTATTACTGCTACTGGTACTGCTGCTACTACTACTATACTACTATTACTCTTACTTCGACTATTATTAACTACATGTATCCTTTGTGTCCTTGTATTGTTTGTAACAACTTTAACTCTGGAGAGCGAAACGTTGCTACAATAAAATGCCACATTAGCTGAGCATATGTCTTTATACCTAACAAGGGAATCTGGGATGTGCCTCTCTTACCACCAACGGTCAAGCGGATTCCCACCTTATTTCTGAACATCAAATAGAAAGGCACAAAAGCCAGGATTCTTGCTTCCTGTTAACAGCGTCGGCTATTTGTCTTCGATTTACGAGTTATGTCGCCTTCCAGCTGTGATTTATGAGTTATTTCGCCTTCCTGCTGTGATTTCAGCATGAGTGACTATTAAGATCGATTTACAGGTCACCAGAGGCCTACGCTGAGCAAAAATAACTTTTTGGAGTATTAACTGCAGGGGTAATTCAGCCAAAGATATTCATTTTTCGGTATGCCTGGCCAAATTCAGTCATCAAATAGACCGAAATCTAGTGTATTTCACTGGGGTGATTTGAGTACTATAAACTGATAGCACGAAGCGGCTATTTTAATCCAAAAACCAACCGGTTAATAGTTCAAAATTTGGTCCTTCAACTAATTTTAAACTAAATTCAATAATTTCCTTTTGCAAATCAGAGTCGCAAAAAAAAAAAAAAAAAAAAAAATAGTAGTCATTCCAGCTACTAAAACACTCTTGCCTCTCCATTATTAACGTAACTAGACTTTTGCTATGCTAAAGTTGTTCTATATTGTGAATACATCGTCACTCCACTAAAATAGACGTTTTTCCCCATTTCTCGTCTAGAAGCATTTTGGGCTGCCCCAGTAGTTGTTGACGAATTAGTTACACCAGGTATATTTCAGGGGAGGGTGAAGCCACTGTGACCCCCATTTTGGGTCGCTTTCGCTGATAAAACCAACACTAGTATGTTCTAGACTAACCAATGGAACAAAGAAATTCCCAGATCAACAATCAGAACCAACCTAAAAACTGCTAAAATATGTTAAACTAATCACTATTTTCACATATTTTAACCAATTTAACAGTCAATGACAATCCAAAAACCAACCCTGTAAGCTCTATAGTCAGTCAAGCAATTCTACCCATTCGTCTCTCGACCACTGGGGAGAGGCATTCTGAGCTTGCCATTGTTGTCCCCTGGTGGCGGTTGGTGTACCTTAGTACCCAATATGGCGGACAGACATGGACGCCATGTAAACACGGTCTGTGTGGAGCTGGTCTGCGGAACACTCAGTTCTTCAATGCAGGTGCTTCTGCCTAGTATCATCCACGATGTGTATGACAAACCAAATTAAGAGCTGTATGGTGTAGCAGTGAATGGAGTGACGAGGATATTCATCAAGTTCACGAGTGTTGGGTTTTACTCCAGCATAGTCGACACGTTTCAAGAGAAAAGAATGAACGTTAATTCTGCATTGGAGGTCTGCCTACATGACATATCAAGCTATGTAATGTGGGTAAAGGTGAGAAATGTCCCCTTTGAGGCCTTGGAATATGATGTTGTGTCGGTATTCCGTAGATATTGCAAGATTCATTTGGCGGAGTTGGGAGTGTGGAAGGATGGGCCTTATATGGGGCTGCCAGAGGGATCCTTCACCCTGAAGATGACATTGAGACAACCTATACCGTCATACGCTTTGATGTAAGAGTTCAGAACTCAGGTTTATGTATACTA